TTTTAACTTTGATTTCATTAGTTTATTATCTAAAAGTTTAAAACTGATTTCCATTCATTTTCCACTTTCTGTTTACCATCTCCTCCCTTTTCTTTTCTTTGCAAGTCTGTATCTTAATGCTATCAAAACATAGTAAGATATTTTTCCTCATTTCCACATCATCACAAATGCAGAAGTATATTTTTCTTTTATCAAAAAGAAAATAAAAACTCCTCCAAATATAATTAGAATACTTAATCTATCTTACCTGTAAGTACAGTTTGTCCGCTTTCAATTTGTTTTCCAATTTTAGCAATCTCTTTGCCTGCTCGGGGACATCTAACTTCATTTTTATCATGCATTTAGTTTCCCGTACAATTTCCAAAATTTTGGGATCAAAATTAACCAGCAACTTTCCTGTTTCTGGATGTCGTACAAAAAGTGTGGCTTGTAAAGCTACAAATAAATGATTGTTGATATTACTTATTAGGAACTGTTTTGCTCCTTCCAACTCTGTTTACACGTCTGTCATCCTCATAGGACTACTGGCTTCTTAAGGGCAGAAACAATAGCCTGGGATAAGCCATGTACCAAGGCCTAGGTGCTAAGGCATAGTAACTGACACACAGTCAGTGCTCACAAAGTGTCAGACAAATGAATGCAGGGTGTCTACAAGGCCATAAAATCAGATCCAGAGGGACTGGAAATTGACCAATAACAAACTCCCTTTGTGCTATGGACTGCAGTACTTTTCTGAGTGGGCCTTAGAGATTGGTAATACATTAGTTGATTTTTATGGATTGTGACTTAACCTCTGGGAGAGAACTGGCAAATGTGCACAACTACCAAACATGACATACTGCATGAATTTCTGATAATTAGGCTCAATATCAATAAGAATTATTTGCTAAACACCACTGAGTTGTGAAGTCCTAAAATAGAAGAATCTTTTTTTACACTACATCCCACATGAAATGGTTCATCTAAATAGGCATTTTCAGATATACTTTTTATTATTTATTGAAATACATAATCTTGAATGCCAAGTAGTCTTAAATTATTGATTATCCTAATACGAATTGTTTAAACACTTAGAGACTAGCATGTGCCAGCTTGAATCATACCTTATTTTAATACACACTACTAATAACATGAGAATTTCATTATAATCACAGTATCTTTCAAGTCTCACATAACTTCATACAATTGCAGCTACGTCAAGTTTTTAGCAAAATAAAATAGTCTGTTTATCTTGAAGTCAGTCGACTTGCACTCATTAGCTAAAACTGGTCTTGATACGGGTCTTGATGCAGATTTCATGAGAATTTCAACTAAGTTTTATCTAACTCATTTGGAATCTTTTTAAAGCTTGGGTTAGATATCATGTATTCTTCCAAGTAAGATCCAAAATAACTTTCAAAATATTTATTAGATGAAATCTGTCTTCTTTAAGACTGCACTGAACTTGCTTGAAAAGACACAATGGCCAGCAAGATCACTAATAATGACAGCCAGGCAGTCTGTTCTAGGACTAACCAAATGTACCATTCACATCAATCACTATAAGAGAAACTTTATAGAGCAATCAATGAAAGATGGCCAATACTAAGACTACCCAATTATTATTCCAAGTTCCTTTAGCATTAAATACAGTCACATCAATATAACCCAAGAAGCATTCCAGAGCAATTCATTTCTGCTAGCCTATATTCGTATGAAAGAAATTTACTTTATATCATTTATTTCACTTCTTACCACTTCTCATGGGCACCAATCCATTGCAATGAGCATATATTATTCACCCAATAGGTGTTCTCAAACAGGACAAACTCCAGAAAATTAGATAAAATTGTTATTACCAAGGTTGTCTGATCTCCACTTATTGAGCATTTAAAAATATTTTAAGAGCCCCTAATGGTACGTTAGGAGTTCTGGTGGTGTAGTGCCTAAGGCATTTGACTGCTAACCAGAAGGCTGGAGTTTCAAACCCACCAGCCACTCCTCAGAAGGAAGACTGGGCAATCTACTTCTGTAGAGATACCTCCTTGGAAACCCAAGGAGGGGTCACTATGAGTCAAATCGACTCGACGATAGTAAGTTTGTTTTTTTGGGGGGTTGGTTAATGGCACTTTTAGAAAAATGTGGTATTATTGTTAGAAGCAAGGACTCAGGAGCCATACTGACTGCCTGGGTTTGAATCCTAGCTCTGCCACTTAGTAGTCAAATCATCTGGGCCAGGTCACTTAACCTTTTGGTGCCTCAGTTTCCTTGTCTGTAAAATGAGGATAATAATATTTCCTTGCAGGGTTTCTATGAAGACTGAAGAACTGTGTGTGTGTATATATATATATATATATATATATATATATGTATATATATATAAAGTATTTAGACAAAGCCTAGCACATGGTAAACACTGTGTGAATGTTAGTTGTTGTCACTATTTAAAGGATACAAAGACAGAGAGTATCCTTGGAATGTGTAAGAGACGTAAGTCAGATGTAGCAACCAATTAAGTGTCATGAGAGAGAATTATAGATAAAGTACACGGAGAACTTTGGAAGAAGATGGCATTATTTCCTGCCAAGAAGAATGAGGATGGGCTTTATGGAGAAGGATGAAGCTCTGGTGATGCTGTGGTAAGGTATTCAGTTCCTAACCAAAAGTTCGGTGGTTCAAATTCACCAGCTGCTCCACAGAGGAAAGATGAGGCAAACTGCTTCCACAAAGATTTATAGCTTTGGAAACCCTATGTGGGTCACTATGAGTTGGAACGGACTCAGTGGTAGTGGGTTTGGTTTGGGTTATAGAGCAGAAGACTGTTAAGCTTGCTTTTGAACCTGTCAAATAAAAGGAAAGACAGTTGGGGCAGGAAAACCAGCAGGAACAAAAAAACAAAAAGTGTGAAATTATATGGAAGTCTAGACATAAAACTGTAAGTGCTCCTTATTTGAATTAATAGAAATTCTCCCCTGTCCTTTTCCATAATGTAAAATTTAAGCTTTTCTTGGGGGATCATTGCGTTTTCATTAGCATGTTTTCATTAGAATCCATTGGTTCCTATTATCTACTACTACATCATCCAGAAAGAGCTGGCCTGATAGAAGTGGTCTATTAAAGTCTCAACTAAGATGTCACTTTGGGGACAACATCCTATAGGTTTGGGGAGCTGTCCTCCAGGATAAAGTATAAAACGAATCAATGACCTGTATGTAATGCTATTTCCCTCAGTGGCTAAAATATACTGGTTCTGGAACCAAGAGGCACAAATAGAGTGGCCCCTCACACCACGACTCCTCATAACCCACTCACAGAACATGTGCTTCTTAACCCTGCAATTCCACACTCCACAGAAGTAGAGATCTTAGTTTGGGAAGGAGGAATTTTTCCACAGTAAGGGTTCCACCAAACCTGAAGTTTTCACTACCACTTGGGCTTCTCATGCCATAGTCCAGCAGGCAAAGAGTTACTACACCGGCTGGGAGACTCAGCCCTCAATGTCATAAAGAGGTAGAGTTGCTGCTATCCATGTGGATAGTGGGGAGAATATTGTGGGGGTTCACTGAACCATCTCTTGCTGCTTCCATGTTCAATGACAATAAGCAACTGTAGCAAACACAGCCCAACAAGAAAGAGATAACTAAGGGCTAAGCTCTTCAGGGATGAAGGTCTGGTTCAACTCACCAGGTAAGCAAACCAGACCAGTCAATGTGCTGGCCAAGGGCAAGGGAAATCTGGAATGGGTGCTGACAGAAGGAAGGTAATAGATATCAATTATCACCTCAGACCACTGTAGCAGTGGAAAACAAGATTTTATGTCTCTAAAGCCCAGGGCTTTGGGGTTGAGTGGTAACAGAAATCCAGAAATGTTTACAGAATCCAACAGCAGAGGAGACTCATACCCCAGCCCATCCCCACTTCCAGGATGGGCCCTAGAAAAGCAACAAGAACTCAGATTACTCCCCCATCCAGCCTGGTGTAGGAGCAGAAAACATGTCCCATTGCAGAGGAGGTAGGAAGAAGGCCTGAGAGACCTTTACAGGATGCTGTGGACCCCAAAATGGCACAGGGAGTAGCAGAATGTTCCTCAACCCACAAAGCTACATGGACACTGTTTAAAGAGTTATGGCTAAGAATTTAAGAATTTAACATAATGGATAAGAGATTAAGGTGAAGTTTATAATTAAGATCTTAAATTTAAGGGATAAAGCAGGACACTGAACAGACCAACCATTGAGTCCACACAAAAATAACAATGTCCCAGATGATGCCAGTATGGATCAAAAATGGCTCAGAACCATCCCCTACCTCACATCTAGCTCTGCCCTAAGCCTTGGCATCACATAACCCCCTCTCCTCAGTGACACTTAGCCACAACCCTAACATTCTTAATTTACTGGAGCTCAAATTGAAGTTGTAGAAGAAAGGAAGGGAGGGGCAGAGAAGAAAGAGAAGTAATTTTCTCCCCTGCTAGGGACTGGGTTTCAAATCTGTAACATGATAAGACCAAATGTAAAAACTTTCATAAATCTACAGAGAAACATCTATAAAAAATTTCAATATTTACATTTAAATACTGTTTCCAGAGAAAATTATAATTTATATCAACTTTAATGATCATTTTTGTTTACAAAATCAGAATATTATTAATAATCATAAACAAAGAAATATTTTCTCACCCCCAAATCTAAATTTTAATTTCCATAAGATTATGTAAAAGGGATGTAAAAAACTCATTCAAAATCACTTAATGTCCACCTTTTACCCTCATGGCATAGCCACATACTTACCATACTGTAACTGCGAAATTTCTCTGACCCAGGCAGTGTGATAGACCACCTCAAATTCCACCAGGACGTAGGAAATTTTGTTATACTGGCGAATGACAGCTTTACCTTCTGAATTTGACAATATGTCTGAGTTTTTCTGTTAGTCAAGGGGGGATAAAAAGATTTCTTTAAAAAGACTGCTGGCTATTTTCATATACAAATCATAAAACTATATATATTTAAAATGACATAATCATACTACAAATTTTTATTTTTTTTCCTTAGAGATGGGGCAGTACACAAGCTGCCAATAGAAGAAGGGAAGAGTTACCAGTAGAGAGGGAAAATTAGAAAAGAAGGGATTTTTAAAAAATACATTTTATTGAAATATAATTTATATACAGTGAAATACACAAAACTAAAGTGACATGGGTCAATGCTTTTTTTTTTTTTTGCAATGTTGCCTCCCCTTCCCTCCCATCCCTAGTAACTGACAAAGAAAGTTTCCTTCCATATATAAACCTCTCCTTGACTTTTTACAATATTTATCCTTCTGTGATTGACTTATTTCACTCAGCATAATGTCCTCCAAGTTCATCAATGTTCTACAGTGTCTAGCAGATTTTGCATTACTCTTTAGTGTTGCATAGTATTCCATTCAGTGTATGTGCCATAGTTTGGTTATCCATTCTTCTGTTGATGGGTACCTAGGTTGTTTCCATCTTTTTGCTCTTGTAAATAGTGCTGCAATAAACATGGGTGTGCATATATCTGTTCTTATCCTGGCTCTCACTTCTTTAGGATATATACCTAGCAATAGGATTGGTGGGTCAAATGGTATTTCTAATTCCAGCTTTTTTAAGGAATCACCATACTGCTTTCCACAGTGGTTGTACCATTTTACAGTCCCACCAGGAGTGTATGAGAGTCCCAATCACTCCACATCCTCGTCAGCATTTGCTATTTTCTGTCTTGTTGAAATTTGCCTTTAGTGTTGGGGTGAGATGGTATCTCATTGTTGTTTTGATTTACATCTCTCTGATGGCTAATGATAGTGAGCACTTCTTCATGTATTTGCTGACTTCCTGAATATCCTCTTTCGTAAAGTGTCTATTCATGTCTTCTGTCCATTTTTTAACTGGATTGTTAATCTTTTTGTTGTTGAGGTGTTGGAGTTTTCTATAAATTCTAGAGATAAGTCCCTTGTCAGATATGTCATTGACAAATATTTTTTCCCAATCTGTAGGTTCTCTTTTGACTCTTTTGGAGAAGTCTTCAGAAACACATAAAAATTTAATTTTTAGAATGTCCCATTCATCTAGTTTATCTCCAGGTATTTGTGCATTTTAGATTATACTTGAGAGGCTATTTATGCCATAAATAAGGGCCCCTAAATTTGCTCCTGTTTTTTCCTTGAGGAATTTTATAGTTTTGGGGTTCACATTTATGTCTTTGATCCATCTGGAGTTAGTTTTTGTGTATGGTGTGAGGTATGGATCTTGTTTCATTTTTCTGCAAATGGATATCAATTTCTCCAGCACCATTTGTCAAAGAGATCACCTCTTACCCATTTGATGGATTTCAGCCCTTTTTCAAAAATCAGCTAACCATAGGTTGATGGATCTATTTCTAGGTTCTCAATTCTGTTCCACTGGTCTATGTGTATGTCATTGTACAATTACCAGGCTGTTTTGAATATTGTGGCTGTATAGTAGGTTTTGAGATCTGGAAGTGTGAGACCTCCTACTTTGTTCTTCTTCAACAGTGCTTTGTTTATCTGAGGTCTCTTTCCTTTCCACATAAAGTTGTTGTTGTTATGTGCTGTCAAGTAAGACCCAACTCATAGCGACCCCTCCTTGGGTTTTCAAGGTGGTATCACTACAGAAGTAGATTGACCAACCTTCCTTCCAAGGAGTGGCTGGTGGCTTGAACCACCAGCCTTCTGGTTAGCAGTCAAGTGCCTTAGGCCCTACACTACCAGAGCTCTTCATATAATAAGTTAGTGATTGGTTTTTCTAGTCTTTTAATGGGATCTGAATAGGGATTGCACTGAACATATAGATTGCTTTGGGTAGTACTGATATTTTCACACTGTTCAATCTTCCTATCCACGAGCATGGTATGCTCTTCCACTTATGTAGATCTCTTATGGTTTCTTGGAGTAGTCATTTGTAGCTTTCTTTGTACAAGTCTTTTGTGTGCTTAGTGAGATTTATTTCCAAGTATTTTATTTTGTCGGTAGCTATTATAAATGATATTGATTTCCTTATTTCCTTTTCAGCAATATCTTTGCTGGTGTAGAAGAATCCAACTGATATTTGGATATTGATCTTGTATCCTGCCACTATGCTAAATCTCTCAATTAGTTCCAGTAGTTTTTTTTGGTGGGTCTCTTGGGTTTTCTATGTATAGGATCATATCATCAGCAAATAGGGATAGTTTGACTTCTTCCTTACCAATTTGGATGCCTTTTATTTCCCTTTCTTCCCTTACTGCCATGGCTAGGACTTGCAATACAATGTTGAATGGAAGTGGTGACAGAGGGCATCCTTGTCTGGTTTCTGTTCACAAGGGAAATGGTTTCAGTCTCTCTCCATTAAGAATAATGTTGGCTGTTGGTTTTGCATATATGCCCTTTATTATGTTGAGGAATTTCCCTTCTATTCAGATTTTGTGGACAGTTTTTTCAGGAATAGGTGTTGGATTTTATCAAATGCCTTTTATGCATGGATGATATGATCATATACTTCTTTTCCTTTGCTTTATTTATGTGATGGATGATGTTGATTGTTTTCCTGATGTTGAACCATCCTTGCATATGAGGTAAGAACCCCATTTGGTCATAATGTATTATTATTTTTTATATGTTATTGAAGTCTATTAGCTAGGATTTTGTTGAAGATTTTTGCTTCTATATTCATGAGGGATATTGGTCTGTAGTTTTCCTTTTTAGTGATGTCTTTGCCTGGTTTTGGCATCAAGGTTATGCTTGCTTCATAAAATGAATTTGGGAGGATTCCACCCTTTTCTATGTTTTGGAATAGTTTGAGTAGGACCGGTGTCATTTCTTCTCTGAACATTTGGTAGAATTCGCTGGTGAAACCATCTGGGCCAGGGCTTTGTTTTGTTGGTAATTTTTTTTATGACCTGTTCAATTTCTTCTTTTTTATGGGTTTGTTTAGATTTTCCACCTCAGCCTCTGTTAGTTTAAGTAAGTAGTGTGTTTCTAGAAATCTGTTCATTTGTTCTAGATTTTCTAATTTGTTGGAGTATAATTCTTCATAGTATCCTTATTAATATCCTTTTAATTTCTGTTGGTTCTGTTGGTGTCACCCAATTCATTTCTTATTCATGTTGTTTGTATTCTCTCCCTCTTTTCCTTTGTTAAATTTGCCAATGGTTTCTCAATTTTATTAATTTTTTCAAAGAACCATCTTCTAGTCTTGTTGATTTTTTTTCTATTGTCTTTCTTTTTTCTGTTTCATTTATTTCTGCTTCAATCTTTATTATTTCTTTTCTTCTGGTGACTGTAGGGATCTTTGCTGCTCTTTTTCTAATTGCTGGAGATGATGGGTTAAGATGTTGACTTTGGCTCTTTCTTCTTTTCTTTCTTTCAATAAATAAAAACAATAAACTATTGTTTCTTTCTTTCAATAGATGTGTGCATTTATTGCTACAAATTGGCCTCTAATCACACCTTTTTCTGTGTCCCAAAGATTTTGGTATGTTGTGTTTTCATTCTTGTTTGATTCAAGAATGAATTATTTCATTTTTTATTTCTTTTATTACCCAGTCACTTTCCAAGAAGGGTGTTATTCAGTTTCCATGTGTTTGCTGGAAAGAAGGGATTTAAAATGAGAGGGTTCCAGCCCCACAGCCAACTTCAGGCATTATGAGGCTCTTCTTCAATCCTCTATTCCCGCTCTTCAATCTTCTGGACAAGAAATGTATGTCTGATTTTCCTTGAACTATAATCTCCTGAATATCAGGACAAATTCCTAAGTCCCACCAAAGGAGGGGAGACTGATTATATAAAGGAGCTCTGGTGGTGTCGTGGTTATGACATTTGGCTGCCAACCAAAAGATCAGTGGTTTGAACCCAACAGTTCCTCCATAGAAGAAAGATGGGACAGTCTGCTTTTATAAAGATTCATAGCCTTAGAAACCCGATTAGGGTTGCTATGAGCCAGAATCAACTCAATGGCAGTGAATTTGGTTTTGAGTTTGGATATATTGAATGGGAACCATATTTTTTAAATATAATATTTGAAAGTTTTCAGTTTCAATTCACGTATGTCACACAGGGTACTACTCTGTGACGCTGCTACAAAGTCAATCAGCAATTGAGTGCTCACCTTTGTTCTAGTCTCAGGCCAGAATTTTAATTAATTTACTGATTTTTTTTTTTTAAATTCAGAATAGTGAAAGCAATGATGGCAGCAAATTAAAACAATAGAAACTTAATATTTAACATTAAAGTTTTGGTTCTCTAGTGCTATTCTAACAGAAAATACCACAAATGATGGCTTCAACAAACAAGGATTTTATTCTCTTACTGTTTAGGAGGGTAGAAGTCCAAGTTCAAAGTGCCAGCTCTAGGGGCTTTGTAAAAGCCCCTCAACCTTGGGCTTCAATTCTGCATCTTGCTCCTGACCCACTGATGCTGGAGGTTTCTCTTAACTCAGGCAGCTGCTGGCTGCTGAGGCTGACAAATCCAAGGTCAAAAAATAAAATGGCACAGTCCCAAGATTACCAAACTACATGGCAGGCCACCAGTTCAAGTCCAGGGACAGTCCTAAGATTGGCAGGAGACATGGCAGGTTGCTGAATGAAGATTCAGCTACATGCAAGGTCCAAGGGTGCCAAAAAGTTGCATAGACCTTTCTCAATGCTGCTTCTTGTATACTGGAAGGAGACTACGTTCCTAAGGCAGCTACTCAGCTGCTCACAGCAGATTCCACCATGGAGTAGATTAGTAGTGTCATCATGGGGAATACTACATCCAGCTGCTCAGCCACTCAAAACCAGGCCCAGACAAGTTGACACATAACCTTAACTACCACAGATAATACAATTATTTGCAAGACTATTGTCCTGTAGCTATTTTGTTCTAAACTTAGGCATAACACACATGCCAAGTAAACCATGTCTACTCTGCTCTTCTGCCTCTTAAATCAAAAAAAGACAATGAAAAGGTAAACTTGTAATTTGAGAATGCCAATAGGGTCTAAGACCATCCTGATGTTTTTCAGAAACCTAATAATCTTACAGATGTGGAAAGTGAATATATTCTACTGTATACTGCCCTAGGAGATCTAGTGGTAAGTGGTTAAAGCGCTCATCTGCTAACCGAAACATCTGTGAATCGAACCTACCAGGTGTTCTGTGGGAGAAAGATGAGGCAATCCGCTTCTGTAAAGATGTACAACCTTGAAAATGCTGTGGGGCAGTTCTCCTCTGTCTTACATGATTGTTATGAGTCAGAACTGACTCAAAAGCAACAGGATTGTTTTGTTTTCTTGCTACTCTCAGTCCTTCATATAGGAACATACTCTTTGAATAATCTTCACTTTCACTAAATACATATCAGTGACCTATCTGTCTACAGATAGAAGACTGCTTCAGCACTACACCTGTATTTTACTGTGTTTTTAAAACAATTATTTCTAAAAATCCTTAATAATGTGTGCCATATTATTAAAAGACATAGAGTTATAAGATTCACTCCCTTCAAAATAACTATAATTAAACTAGTTTATCTATCCAGCATGAAAGAATTGGCTTAGTCTATCTCAAGCATATTTATAAACTAAATTCTTTGCCTGGGAAAAGAATTGGCTCTAACTACTTTATTAGGCACAGAGTTTATTATAGAATAAAAGATTTTTTTTTTTATGAAAACCACTATAATCCATATAATGCAATTTTAATTGGCTTACAAAGAAATAGTTGATGGGCTCACTTATCCGGCGGTAGAGTTGCCTCACCCAAAGTATTTTTCCTGCTATAGGAGGCATGTTGCGAGCAAGAGGGGGGTCATCTTTTTGAGAATGATAAAGCTGTAATTAAAGAGCTGATGTTAATGGTTGAAATGCAATACAATGGAGAAGGCCAACAATATATAGCTATACTAGTATCATTGTTATACCATTATTCAGGTTTTATACACAGTATGTGATCAATTAATACATTAATACACTTCAGAGATAACCTGAGGCTCAGAAGTGATATTTATAATACAACATACTTAATTCTCTCTTTCTTCTCATTTCCTATTATGTGTTTTTCCCCCAGAAAATGTTATTTATCAATGTGATCTACTTAAATAATAGAAGCAAATATGAAATCTTGGGATCTCTTTGTTATTTAGCCAGTAATCCCATATTCTCTGAATATGGCATCACTTTTGATGTCTTGTTGCCTTTGAACATAAACTCATTCTGTCTTTGTCCTGGTTTCCTTCCCCCAGGTCCTTCTCCCTAGTCTCCCTTTCTCTAATGACTACCTACCACCCTCAGCCCATGTCCCCACATATAATATGCTGCTCCTCCTTCACCTCACATGCATATTTTTCTTCCTGCCCTTATCTCAAATTTTAAGGAGGTATTCAAAAGAGGGAACTCATAGCAATATTTTATCTGCCATAATATTCTCCAGAGCCCATATTTCTATACATAAAAATATTAAGTGAAATGAGCTTTGCCATACATCTGGATACTATAGCAAAAAGATAGCAAAGAGGTACAATGTGGCTGTCCAGAGACATAATGTACCCATGTACAGAGAGGTGCATCAAAGGTACTTAGCAGTGAAAAGAGCACTCTGAAAAGCTTTGCACAAGATAATGATGGCCAATCCTTTCAGAATTCTTTTTGTACTATTCCATTTATAAATACGATACTTGCCTTCTTAGTAGCTTCAAGTTCAGCCACATAATACTGAAGAATACGTTCAATTGTGCGGTTTATTTCCAGTTGAAGACAAGGAATGTTCAGTTTCTGGAACCTAAAAGTAATTGAAGTCTGAATAATTAAAAAGTAATTGAGAAATACATTTAGGAATTACTGTAGTACTAAATCCCCATTCATTCATTTGAGAAATATTCATATTAGGAATGAATGCATTGTGCTAGGATGCAATGATCAACAAGACAAGTGTGGTCCCAGCCCTCATAGAGCCTACAGTTATCTTACAGAAAAGGCAGAAGTCAATCAAGAGTTATCTAAATAATTATTTAAATTACAAGGGTTCTAGGAAGGTGTATATGTAATAGGGGAACCTAGCCACATATGGGGAGCCAAGAAAGGCTTCCCTGAGGAAATGACATTTAAACTGAGATTTAAAAGATGAGTGAGGAATTAGCGAAAGACAAAGGGGAACACGTTGAATGTAACTTTGTCTATGTTAATGATCCTGTAACTCAAATAGTCATGATCATAATACCTGTCAGCCAAATGTCACCTCCACTTAGAGACCAAATGATGCACAGGGAGTATTATTAGACCATAACATTCAGTTAATAAAATGGTTGACCCCAGCATACTATGAAAGGGAGTTGGGGAAAGAAGGAGGAAGGGAGAGAGAGAAAGGAAGAGAATGTGGGGGAAGAGGGGATGAAAAAGAATAAAAGGAGGAGAGGTAGAGGAAGGAGGAAGGAAGGGAGAAAGAGAAACGTGAGACAGAGACAAAGAGAAAAGAGGCAGAGAAGGGAGAGATAAAGAAAAGAGGTGAGAGAAGACAAACTTTACAAGACCAAAAGGGCAGTAGCTGCCCAAAAACAAAAGCTCAGAAGGCCTGAAAGGGCAGAAGAGGAGGACGAATGGAAATGGATAACCAAGAGAAAAAGTGGGTAGAATGCTGTTACATTGAAAGGATTGCAACCAATGTCACAAAATAAAATGTGTATAAATTGTTGAATGGAAAACTAATTCTTTATGTAAACTTTCACCACATGCATGCCACAGTAAAATAAATAAACGGCTTAAAAATAAAAAGAAACAAACAAACAGAAGAAAGAGAGACCACTGAGATAAGGACTCACAAGGTATGAAACATCATTTTGGAAATATGGAACAATGGCAAAGTCTGGCTCAAACCTAGATATCCTGACTCTCAGGGAAGAGTTCCAAAGGGTTCCAGACAAGAGTCCTGAGCCCTCCCCAAGCTGAAAGAGAACTGCGTCTAATCTAGCTTGTCCCTTACTGGGGCTTCCCTGCCCTTTGAGGGAGCACTGCTCTCAGGAATAGAGGGAAAGGAAGCTGCAGGAGCGAAAGTAGAAAGTGTTAGATCTACTCCTTTTAAAAAATACTACTTTTAGAAATTCCTTCAGTATGCAGAATTAAACATTATTTGTTTCCTTTCCAGTAACAACCACGAAATTAACCTCAGACACACTATATGGCTGGGGAAAAAAAGATGAAATAATTTCATTTTCTTAAAGACTTTCTGCTACAAAAATAAAAGTGCATGGAGATATATCACACTATATTTCAAATATTTACTAGTCTATCTAGAGGCACCTGAAAGGGTAATGCTTTCAAGTTTTAAGTCTACATTGTTGTTGTTGTTATGTGCCGTCCTGTCAGACCCAATTCATAGCGACCCCTCCTTGGGTTTCTGAGGTAGTATCACTACAGAAGTAGATTGCCCCATCTTCCTTCCGAGGAGTGGCTGGTGGGTTTGAACCGCTAGCCTTCTGGTTAGCAGTCAAATGCCTTAGGCACTACTATCAGAGCTCCTGAGATCTACATAGGAGAGAGTTCCTAAACATCTTATTTGAAATTGCAATTTCAGATTTAAAGTTATCCCATCTAGAAACTAAACTGCTTAAAACATTATAAATACCGTTGAAGAAGCTGAAGAGCCTGTTGAGAAGACAAGATTTTTCCAAAAGTACTACTCATAAATGCCTGTATTTGTACCTGAAATAAAATGTTAATATTAAAATGATTATTGGTATTAATGAGATTAGTTAATGGCTTAATAATTAATGACTTTCCTACAGAATCAAAATAGCCTTAAACACACTTATCTCCCACCTAAGCATCTAGTTCTGCTCTGGCCAACACAGTGCCACTGGCCACATACGGCCACTGAGCACTTGAAATATCACTACTTGGAAATGATGTGCTGTAAGTATAAAATACAAACTGGATTTGAAAGACTTAGCACAAAATAAAGTAAAATATAGCTCATTGATGATTTTCATATTGATGAAATGATAAAATGATAAATTTTTAATATTTTGGGTTGAGTAAAATTTTCACCTATTTCTTTTTGTTTTAATTAACATGGCTACTACATAAAGTTACTTATGGTGGCTTGCATTTGTGGCTCATTATTTATTGGGTATTGCTTATAATCTGGAGAATTAATAAAAAGAGTAATATCTTTTACCAAGTATGTTCCTTTGGGATATTTAGAATTTTTAAGCATGCTGGAAAAGCAAGGTATAAACATTCAGGGCCAAAAAGATCAAACACTGATGCTCTCAGAAACCCCTTTACCACAGCAAAGAAGGAATAGGAAGTTCCTCCCAAGACTTCTGCCATCCTAAGCAGTGAGCTCCAAACTCCAGGTACCCAACCAATAGAACTAAAATGTTGTTGTTGTTATGTGTTGTCGAGTCAGCCCCAACTCATAGCAACCCCTCCTTTGCTTTGCAGTTGTTTTCATTTGCCAATTGATGTCTCTGGTTCCCTATTTACAATCTTGTCTGGTAGCATAGTGCCTAAAGCACTTGACTGCTAACCAGAAGGCTGGCAGTTCAAACCCACCAGCCACTCCTCAGAAGGAAGGTTGGGCAATCTATTTCTGTAGTGATACTGCCTCAGAAACCCAAGGAGGGGTTGTTATGAGTCGAGTCTGACTCAAAGGCAAATAACAACAACAAGAAGAAGCTTATTTTACTTTGGATACATGCATAGCTGTGTTGGTTTCTGGGTTATGTCATCTTGTGTATTAATGGTCAATTGTTATTTGCTGTTATTGGTTCTCTGCTCAAAGGACTCCACTTAGTATCTCCTGTAAGATTGGTCTGGTTTTAACAAATTCCCTTAATTTCTGCTTATCTGGAAATCTCTTAATTTCACCATCATATTTGAAGGACAATTTTACCAGGTATATAATTCTGGCTGGAAATTTTTCTCTTTCAGGGTTTTATATATACCATCCTATTGCCTTCTCGCTTGCATGGTTTCTGCTGAGAAATCAAAACTTATTCTTACTGGTTGTAACTTTTCATTTTTCCCATGCTGCTTTCAGGATTCTTTCTTTGGCTTTGGTTTTGATAAGTTTGATGATGATATATATGTCTTGGTGATTTTCTTTTGGGGCCTATCCTGTTTGGGGTTCATTGGACTTCCTGAATGGATATATTCTCATCTCTCATCATATCAAAGAAGTTCTCTTCCAACAAATCTTGGACAATTTTCTCAGTGGTTTTATTTTTCTCTTCCTGTTCTGGAATTCCAATGACACATAGGTTATACCTTTTGATGGTATCCTACATGAACCTCAGGCTTTCTTCATTTTGTTTTGATCTTTTTTCTGATTGATCCCTTTCCAAAAAAATATTCAGATATTTGTCTTCAATCTCATCAATTCTGTCTTCCATTTATTCCATTTACTCTTTTGTCCTTTGAATGTGTTATCTATTTCTGAAAATTTAGTATAAATCTTCTGGATTTCTATCTGTAGATTTTGTATCATTTCTAATTTTTCATTTATTTTGTCATTTTGTTCTTATATTTTCTTCCAAAATTGTTCTAAAGTTTTGTCTGTGTTTTCCTTAATTTTGTCAGTGTTTTCCTTGATCTGTCTCTCAACCCTTTGAAGATACCTAAATATAATTCTTTTGAATTCCTTGTCAGGGAGTTCCAATGCTACTTCTTCCTCAAGGATGTGTTCTGGGTCTGTATCCTGCTCCCTTGTTTCTACCACTTTATCTTGCTTCTTTGTGTGGACTGTGATGGTCTTTTGTCTCTGAGACCTTGTGATGCTGTTGTATTTAGATGTCTGTTAACTGTTCATGAAGAGCAGGAAGAGAGAATCAGGCTCTTCTTGATGGCTGTTTATCATTGGCCAGTTGGTGGAGAAAGAAGTGGTGACTCTCACTCAGTAAGTGGAGCTGCAGAAGGTATGGGTGTGATTGCATCATATGGGCACAGTTGCTATCTCCCACTCAGTTAGACAAAAACAACAATCAAAAAACCATCAAAAAAGTAAAAGCAAATGGACAAAAAATATACCACATAAACACATAGGAACAATCACCCCAAAAAAAAAAAAAAAAGGAAAAAAATTTAAAAAGCAGTATCTGGGGAGAGGGCAATAAGAGAAAAAAGGTAGAGTAGGAGAATAATGAAGAAAAAAATGAGAAAAATGCAAAAAAGAAAAACAAGGAATGGGGTTAACCACGAGAAAGAAAAAAATTGGAAGAGAGAAAAAGCTGAAAACTAGAACGTTTCCAGTCATTGGCATCTGTATTGTCCTTGTGGTTCCCAGCAAGTGGGGCCTATCCTTAAGTCCCTGGAATCTGAGAGAATACTGTCACTTTAAATATCCAAAATGATTGAACTGCTTGTAAACATTCAAAATGGCTGCCCCCTCTGGACAGGCAAAAGTCCGTAGCTCAACCCCCCCTTTCTCTTTGCTGCTTCCCCTTTTATTCACCAGCCACTAGGGCAGTCCTCCATGCAGTCCCTAGCTAGTAAGGCTGATTTTTAGGTTAATTCTTAGGTCCTAACAACCACTCGGCAATATCCAAGCTGTTTGTGATATCAGGATCACTGCCAGACCGCAGCTCTGTATGTCTCCTTTTTTGGTGTTTTCATGCACATTATTCTACTAGTTGGAGTTTTGTCCACTTCTATATCCTTCCCTTCAAAGCTCAGGGCTCCAGGATTATCTTCTGTATCTGTGTTAATTGGTCCCCCTTTCCTTTATTGAAGAGCATCTGTGCAGTCTTTCTGCCTATTCTGCCATCTTACTGGAACTCCTCTATTTGCACTTGCAATTTCTTTTAATCAATTTGCAAGAGGAATTTACAATAAAGGAAATAGTAAATAAATGAATGTCCAGCACTATTGATAACATTTCAGCTTTGTCAAAGTGAAAGTATGTATTTAATTACTTACCTCTAAACTGTTGATTTTGGCCATAAACTCTAAGAAATCTGTTTCAAATTCTGTCCTTCTTGGATCCAGAATGTCATACTGCTTTTTCTTAACCCCTTGATATATATTTTTGAATTTTATTGCCATAATATCTATTCCTTCTATGGTAGAATTACTCAAGGCTGAATATGTTTGCACAATAGTTATCATTTCTGTAATCTTAAAAAGAAAAAGTGATATCTTATTTTAAACATCAGATATTAACACCCACTTATAAGAGTCTAAACTCTAAGAGTCTAAGCTCTTAACCAATAATTGACTGTATTAAAAATAAAATCAATAAGTAGGCCTTAGATTTATTTAGTTAAAACCAATCAGTGGAGCTAAACTAGAATATAAATCTCTGTCACCAGTCATTACTAATCTTGCAGTGTTTAAGACAGATAGTGTTCTATCATATCCAGATAAGTTTACAACCTCCTGTCTTTCAGAATGTAATCATGTTGTCTCCAGGGAGAGAAACTTGAGTAAAAACCCCTTCATATATCTAAACAGGTATCTATCATTTCACTGGATTCAAAAACTTTACCATTCTTCTTGGCCCTAACTGTATTTCTCATATGTAAAGCTTAGCATAAATTCATATTCCTTTACCTCATGACACCTACAAGAAGTCCTCGTGGCAATCTGTTTCCATATAGATTAACACCTAGAAAACTCTATGGGGTTTACCTGGGTCCAGAAGAAATAGATGGTCTCCATTTACCACAACTGCCACTCGTATTGAGATTACAATGGAAGATCTTGGACAGAGTGGGAGAACAATGTGGAATAAAACTCAAAATTATATTTTAAAAAAAGGCCAGGTTTGCTGGTCTGACAGAGCCTGGTGAAACCCCTGAGATTATGGCCCCTAGTTGCCCTTTAGGTCTGGAATTGAACTCACTCTTGTAACTTCCAGCCAAATAGACAGGCATATGGGGTGAACATTTACATCAGGTAGATACACTCCTTGGAGCAATCGATCACGGGAGAGCAGAAGGGCAGTGTATGCACAGGGAGACCGCTCAGGGGCAGGAGTGCATGGGAGGGAAGGACACAGGGAAGAGGTAACTATGGGGAGGAAGTGGGAAGAGAGCTATTACATTGTGGAAAATTGTGGTCAACATTATGAGACAAAATGTATATGAACTGCTCTTTGGAAAATGAATTTACTCTGTAAACTTTCACCCAAATCACAATAAAAATTAAAAAAAAAAAAAAAAGACCAAACTTACTGGTCTGGTGAAACACCCCAGACTATGGCCTTTAGATATCCTTCAAACCTGGAAGAACCCACTTCTGGGGATTACCTTTCAGTCAAACAATAGACAGAGCTATAAAGTGAACAGTAATACCAGTGAGGAGTGGAATTCTCAGAAAAATCAACCATACTAGACCAAAAGAACACCATTTGCCCAAAAACAAAGCTCAGAAGGTAGGAAGGAACAGAAAAGATGGATGAATGGAAACAGGGAGCCCAGAGAGGAAGTGGGAAGAGTGCTATTACATTGAGGGGATTATAACTAATGTCACACACACACACACACACACACACACAAAAAAGTATAAATTGTTGAATGGAAAACCAATTTGCTCTGTAAACTTTCACCTAAACCACAATAAATTTAAAAAATAAACAAACAAAAACCCCATAGGGGAGTTCTACTCTGTCAAATGTGGTCTCTATGAGTCAAATTGAATTGATTCAATGGCACCTAACAACAGTAGCAATGACACCTACACTCAGGACTACGGCAATCACTTCTGACCTGTAAGCTAACGAAAATGAGAGAACTCCTCAATGAAATGGATCGTCACAATAGCCACGACAATGGACTCAAACATACCAAGGATCATGAAGATGGTGCAGGGCCAGCTAACATTTAATTCTGCTGTACATTATGGTGCCAAGAGTCAGAGTGATTCAACAGCAACCGACAACAACAACAACATCTGATCCCTACAGAGTCCTGGGTAATCTCCACTTGGGCTCACTACCTTCCTGAAATAAATGTACCAACATCATCTTCTTCAAAATAATCTTTCATGACCACAGGCTTCCTAGTTCCTTAATCCTCATCAGTGACTGCCATTTTCATTTCTGCTTCAGAGAACAATGCTCAAAGCTCCTCCGGGCTGGCCCATTTGTCTGATGGTCAGACAGAGAGTAAATCTATTCTTAGGGAACTCCTCCAAATACATGCCATGAAAGCAACACAACTGGTCCTTCTACACAGCCAGTAGAATTCATGTACAGTCCTTGCACATGTCAACCTAGAAAAGCCATTTTACAGCAAGCATTACTCTTGCTCCCTTATTTCCACACACTATAAAGGAAAAAAAAAAAAAAACTGTTCTAGAAGCCAGCCCAAGGAGATTTAGGCCACTCAGGTGACTTACAACATGCCTTATGTGGTCTATATAGACATGAGAAGCAAAAGGAAGTCATGGCTGATTACCAAGACTGGCTTCCATGTTGCTGCTATATGATACGGGGATGGAGGTAGGGGGAGATTAAGTTTGAAGGTCCAAGCATGGAGTTGACTAATGCCTCTGCCTCCTTCATCTTTATGAAACAGTTCCTGAATGGGGCCTAAATATTAATCTGACCCGGGCCAATACTCATACAACTGGAAAAAAAAATCCTTATTGGGAAAAAAAAAAAAAAAAAAGTCCCATATAATGGTTTCTAAGATATGACAACAAAAAGCAAAAACAGCAAATGGGAAAAAAGAAATAAACTGGACTTCATCAAATTAAAAACTTTGATACTTTCAACATCAAGAAAGTAAAAAGGCAATCACAGGAAAGAAAAATTTTACGAACTATATGTCTAATAAAGGATTTGGATCTGGAATATATAAACAACTCTTACAACTCAGTGACAAAAAGAATAACCCAATTAAAATAATGCTTAAATAAAGCAAACCAAACCAAACTCTGCCGTCAAATCAATTTCAACTTATAGTGACCTCTCCTTGGGTTTCTGAGACAGTATCTCTACAGAAGTAGAGTGCCCAGTCTTCCTTCTGAGGAGTGGCTGGTGAGTTTGAACCACTAGCCTTCTGATTAGCAGTCAGAATACCTTAGGCACTACGTTGCCAGAGCTCATGATATTTAAATACTCCAATTAAAATCACACACTGCTTGTGGTCCTGTAAAATGGTGCAATTGCTTTGAGAAGCAGTCTGGCAGTTCCTCAAAAGGCTAAATGTTGCTTCCAAGGAGGCTCTGGTATGGTTAACCTTTATCCTCTGAAAAAAAATATCACTGCTCCCCAGCTAGTCCCAATAAATAAAGCAAAAGTACAGAAGTTTCTGAAACACATCTGTCCAGCAAAGGCATCCACACAATGTTTATGTTTATTGGTATATACTGGCCTAGAAAGAGAAACTGCCTTAACACCCAGATATTCCTCAAGTGCAGGGCTCTGTCAGGCAATGCAAGTATTTTGGCCTAACACGGTAGCTAAGAGCAGTGGATCTTAAGTTCAAGTTTCAAAGGTGGAGATAGAATTGAGGTCTTGGGAAAGGTGAAGTTTGCAATAGTCTTTGTATGACAGGTAGAGGGCAGTAACTAAGAATAATAATAATAAGAAGAAGTTATAATAAAATGCCACAAACTGTTAGTAGATGAGTTATATCAATAGTGAGACAAAAGATCTGAAACAATAAGTCTTAACAGTGCTACATAAAGTATGAAATAACCAAAAAGGTGTGGTGAGGGTACAGTACTGTGACAAAATGCTTACCTTCTCAAGTCTTTTACAGAAAGCTTCAAATTTCCCAAATATATACATTTCTGAAACTTCAAAAGATTTTTCCCCTGAGGATTCTAAAATCTGTTTTCTTGTTTTGTGGAAAGATGTCTGATACTCCTTGAATAGAAAAATGCAATCCTACAAGCAGATCAAAAGGGAGGGGGAAGGGAAGACTGGTGAGACATTTGTTCTGGAGTCAAAAATTTAAAAATTCTTTCCTCACACAGAAGTGAGATCTAAGTCATGTCAGCCTTTAACAGGGTCCCTGATGCTGCTAACATTAAAAATTCAAGTTCTCTCCCTACATGTTGAAGAATCAGTGTAAATCAATATATCCACCCACTGCCATTGAATCGATTCTAGCTATCCTTTTTAGGAGAATAGAACTGCCCCATAAGGTTTTCAAGGCTGTAAATATTTATGGAAGCAGACTGCTTCATCTTTCTCCCACGGAGTGCCTGTTGGGTTTGAACCATGAACCTTTTGGTTAGCAGCTGAATGCTTTAACTACTACACCACCAGAATTCTTTAATCAATATACAGTAGTTTTAAAAATTACATCATGTTTTTATCTTCTTCATCCTTACTACCCTCTCTTAACTCTTATCCTACATAGACCACTGGTGTTAGTGCATAGAACATACACTGTAATACTTGTTTTCACATTTTCATGGTTAATTAAATTTCCAAGAGGCCCAGAAATTATCTGTCCAATCATCTCTATTCAATTGCATAAAGACGTTAAGACTTTGCAACACTGATTTATCACCCTAATCATTATTTCTCCACAGGATATCATAAAGTCTTTGACAAGTGCATTGCTGCAATACCAATATTTGACTACAGCTATGCCACTTCTTGATTCTACCAGGCTATTGAAGCTATTAGAAATAACAAAAAGAACAGGAACATTGGGGTCTAGTAGGAGTGCACTGTCATGTCCAACTAACATTTCCTAAAAAACAAACCAGTTTTTAAAATAATGTATTGTTAAAACTTTATCAAAGTCAGCAAATGGTCAGTCAAGTCTTTCAAACGATGCCATTGCTTTGGTTCTGACCTCTTCCACCCCCCTCTTTTCCATTTAAGGGCACTTTAGCGAGCTCTGGTAGCATTGTGCCTAAGGCATTTGACTGCTAACCAGAAGGCTGGCAGTTCAAACCCACCAGCCACTCCTCAGAAGATTGGGTGATCTACTTCTGTAGTGACCACCTCAGAAACCCAAGGAAGAGTCGCTATGAGTCAGATCCGACTCGACAGCAGTGAGTCTGGTTTGTTTTTTGGTTTGTGATTGCATTAGGCCCAAAGGGATAGTGAGAAAAATCTTCTTATTTTAAGGATAACTAACCAACAACCTTAAATCCATTTGCAAATTTAACCGCCCCCTCTTTGCCATGTAACATAACATATTCACAGGGCCCAGGAATTAGGACACAGACATCTTTGGAGTGATATTCAGCAATCTATGTTGTTGTTGTTGTTATGTGCCATCGAGTCGGCCCCGACTCATAGCGACCCCTCCTTGGGTTTTCGAGGCAGTATCACTACGGAAGTAGGATTGCCCAACCTTCCTTCCGAGGAGTGGCTGGTGGGTTTGAACCGCCAGCCGTCTGGTTAGCAGGCAAGTGACTTAGCCACTATGCTACCAGAGCTCCTATTCAGCAATCTATATTTTTAATAAATTCCCTCAGTCATTTCTACAAACATTCAGATTTGAGAATGACTAGCCTCATACCTCTTGGGCTATGGATAGCAAGAGGCAATCATACAAACAAAACAAGAGGATACTGCACAATTTAAAATTAGGAAAGGAATATGTCAGAATTGTATCCTTTCACCATACTTATTCAATCTGTATGCTGAGCAAATAATCTGAGAATCTGGACTATAAAAAGAAGAATGAAACATCAGTATTGGAGGATTAACAACCTGCATGCAGATGACACAACCTTGATTGGTGAAAGTGAAAAAGATTTGAAGCACTTACTGATGAAGATCGAAGGCTACAGCCTTCAGTATGGGTTATACCTCAACATAAAGAAAACAAAAATCCTCACAACTGGACCAATAAGCAACGTCATGATAAATGAAGAAAAGACTGAAATTGTGAAGGATTTCATTTTGTCAGAAGAGACCAGTTCCTGGAGAGATCTTCATGCTTGGTAGAGAGTCAGCAAAAAAGAGGAAGACTCAACAAGATGGATTGACACAGTAGCTGCAACAATGAGCTCAAACAGCAATAACTGTGAGGATGGCACAGGACCAGGCAGTGTTTTGTTCTTCTGTACATGGAGTTGCTACAAATTGGAACCGACTCAACGGCACCTAACAAGTCTCATGCCTACTTCTATATCACATCTTTCCTAATCAATCTCCAAAACAACATCATTGCTTTCTTCAAGTACCCCATTTATTCATTCATTCATTTGACAAAAGTTTATCAGTGCCTATGGTGTCAGAAGAGCAGGAAAAGGGGATTAAAAGCCAGGAAGCCAGAGAGAAGAGCAATCAGCCGAAGGGATTAGGTGAGGAGAGGCAACTCAGGCCTGCCCAGAGTAGCAGGC